GTCTCGATATCTCCCTATCATGTATATTTTCTGCTGGGAGTTTTGAATACAGATATGGACAAAATTATCACAAAAATAATTCATATTCACTTCAAATAAACTCAGTGTATGTTGATATAACATTTTATTTTTACTTAATTTAATTCAAATATAAAAATTATCCAAAGTATCTCTAAACATAATAGAAATTAAATTCCATTCCTCTTATTTATGTATTTCTAGAACCACTGTAGCCATATTATTTAACATGTTTTAGGGCTCTTTGGATATTGGGCATATTTTATCATACATTTCCTACGTACGATTTCAGTTTCATTAAGATGAAATAATCCCTCCTTAGGTTCTAATCAAAATGTGAAAGGTTCAAGTGTAGGATTGCTTTAGTCTTTTCTAGGATTTGAAGGAGTTTTAGATAACCCAATTCAGTCTTAGATATATTTTTTCATAGCAAGAGAGTGCTTGTTTTTGGAAAGAAAAATCAGAGTTAGGATTTTGCATGATCTTTTAAAATCGGGCTATCTTTAGTCTAACTGCAAGGAAAGAAGCAACTTTGTCTAAAGTTGCTATTCCAAATTTCATAACTGAAACCAAATTATCACGGCCCTTTTCCTGTTCAAACACACAGTCCTTGACTGTATACAACTGTTTGCTGAGAACTAGTGAACTAGAAATCAAGATCTTTGTAATCTCTTAATTCTATCATTTAAAATGATGCCAATTTGATAGAATGGCATTCTCATTTTCCTCATTTGCTTCATTTTCTTCATTTGCAAAATTACTTTATGATAGTGGAGGAAAGCTGCATTTGGAGAATGTTTATTACGTGCTTTGAGATCATTAAAGCTGATATCACTTTGCATACCAAGTGGTGGTATTCATATCCTTAATATACTGAAGTTCTGATACAATCAACGTTTAAAGAATAACATATCATGACCACCACTTTATGCATACTTTCATGATGTAAATGTGCCTGCAGTAACTACTCACTCCTCTGAAATCTTGATATGAGCATTGTGTGTGCCACTCACATTGGGACTCAGGAGGAGCCATTTTCTATTGGTATTTATCTGTATATGCATATGTCTTCTTTATCCAAACAGATTGTGAGTTCTTGAGGGTGGGGGCTGTGTCTCCCTAGCTTCTAGCAATGTGCCTTGTACTTAATGGATGCTTAATCAGTCATTGTTAATGATTAATAGGATGTTCTGTCATGAACGCGTCCTCTATATTCTTCTGTACATGAAATTATTTGTGGGATTTATTCTGCAATCGGAAGGGTGGGGCTCTCAAACAGACGGAAGTACCATGTCACTCGTTATCTCTTACATCTTTGGTAATCTCCACATGTGCATCTGAAGTCATTTGGAAAAGAAGCTGATAATATTTTACCATCAAATATATTTTGCTGATGAGGTGTATCTATAACATTGATCATTATTTCTGTTTGGTTATTACGTATAAAAGATTGGCAATAACTAAAATACCTACAATGTTTACTTTGTGTAGCTATGCATAATTTTGATTCTTTGTTATCTTTATTTTTCCCAAATTCTACACAATAAAGTATTATTCTTATAATCAGAAAAAAGAAGTTCTAAAAAAGGTTTTGTTTATATTCTAGTAAACAAAAGTATGGAAATTTGTATAAATGCCATTCTACACATTAATTTCTCATTTAAATTAAAATCTAATAGCATAAAATCTTACTGCCAGAATGAATATTGATGAGAGTGTTATTTAATTGACAATATTTAAAAGAACAATATTTAAATCAACATAAACGCTACTTCTTAAAACTCTTTTAAGATGTTTTAAATTAGCATAACAAAACTCCATTTAATTAAAATCTAAAACACAAATTTCTTCGCTCTTCATCAGTGAAGTCTGGACTTGCATCCACCTGCCTCCATATTCAGAGGAACCGTAACAAGGACACAGACTATTCTAAGCCCATGTGAAAACTATTGTTGAATTAATCCCCAAAAACCTTAAGGAATGTGCCCACTCTGCATGTTGCTCAGTGGACACGCTTCAATAATTTCCTGGGCATATATTTCTTACCAGCAAGAATTCAGATGGACCCTTATTTAGTATGAAAAAGTTCAAGACAAATTTCCCCAGATGGATACTTAAAGATATTTATTGTTGACACTGGCACACTTCATTAAGGTTACTTTGGTGCCCTGATATATTCCTTCAAAATACAACATGGTGGTGATGAGGGGATTTCAAGAAACATTTACCTAAAGTAGGTTTCTAAGCAAGATGGAGACCAGCAGCTCTTATCTAAACCTGTTATGTTTTCCGTAAGTTCTTCCTTCATCCCCTCACCCCAGCATCTGTCATGGAGGCAAAACATATAGAAAGAGTACATTAGCACGGCTTAATATCAAAGCCTTTATGTCTGTTATACATCATTTTAGATTGTCATAAGTTGTTCAATCAAAAGGTTTAGTCAAAGCTAACATTCTTTACTGATGTCTTTTTTCCCCAAGAGTGTTGGAAATTCGATTGTTCAAAGTGCAAATATGATTCAGCAAACCATTTATCAGAAATCCTAAAGAGGTAAAGTAAAAAAGTGGGTTGAGGAACCTGAATTAAATGGGCTTTACCAGTCAAAGATTTTGAAACTACTTTCCTGTGAGTGACTGGAATAGAGCAGAACAAAGTCAATTACTGACTGTAATTAAGAAGTGGATGCATTTAAACTGTAGAGAGCAGTAGCAGACTTCTCCAGACTGCCTGGTAACTCGAAAGATTAGTGGGAAGACAGAGGAAAGGATGTGAACTGTATGTCTCTGATAGGATGTTTTGAATGAATTGCATTCATATAGCTCTCTGATCTAACTTCTCAAAATGAATTCATAAATCACTGATTATGTATGATTAATGCAGTAATATATTTGGACAAAGGAACTTTTAAAATACATTTTGCTTTTGGTTGTGTTAGCAATATAAGATCCCCTTTGCATTGCATAGCATGCACCAAAAATGCAAATGTACTGCTAAAGTGCTTATATTTTATCACTGTTTGAATTTACTAGACTGAAAGCTGAACTATGTTGGCTCTTTCGTAAACCCTCATAACATAGTAAATCTAATTATGTTTGTTTCTCGTACTTTTTAAATGTTGTTTCTTTTTATAATTTTAATAATGGTTTATTTATACTGGCAGAGAAATATTGTACATTGTGCTTTGGCTAATTCATTTGTCTTTGTGTATGTTAACAAATTATGATGTTAGAAATACATTCATAATCAAAATGTTTAACTACAGATTAGGATGAAGGTAGAAGTCTAGGACATTACTAGTTTCTTGTGTTAGAAATGACCTTCCATTTTTAGATTACTATTTCTTAGGCAACACTCTATAAAGTAAATATTTGGAACTTTATCTGAGTAGAGAACATTGCAATGGTGTTCAGATAATTAGGAAAACATCACCTTAGCTGTCTTTTACTGGATGCATAAAACAGGAAACTGTTTTGAGCCATCCTTATTCTTATATACAGTTTCATTTTAAAAAGAGAGAAAATGATTGGTCCCAGTAATCTGTCAAATTCTAGTGTGGGCAATTAAATCCTATTATTTTTCAATCTTTCACTTCTTATAATTGCATACACTTTAAACAGTTCTTCTTATAGTTAGAGAGAAAACATTTGATATTGGAACCCATCTCAATCAAGAATGGTTACTCTGCAGTACTGATTAATGTTGAATCTCTATAGAGTTTTCCTAAAAACAAATGACAAATACACATATGCACATGTTACATATGCACATATGTAACAGATTTCTTTCAAAACCCCAAAATCATTGTCATCAAATGTAGCCATGAGAATCCTTGAAACCTTCAGAATGAGCCATTTGGGGTAATAATTGTCACTTTAATGACAGAATTATAGAGATGGCCTAAAGCATGATTTGTGATTTTCTGAACCTGTGCCACATTTCAGCGTTCACCTCCTGTTTAGAGCAAGGAAGGCTGAGAAGAGGTGGCTGGCTCCTGATTGAGTATTTTGAAATGTCAGTCCTCTAAACCTCTGAACTCTGTGTGACGGTAGTTGGGAAATGTTCATCTTCCTGTTGCAAGAAAAAGTCAATAATACAAAGGGAAAATCTTCACAGTTCAGATGGATGGCCAAATACAAAAAGCGTGTCCACACCCACTCTAATCAATTTTTTCTCTAAGTAGCCCGTTACGTGTGAAACTAAGAGTATTGCCCTGTTTCTATAGGGTCATATCCTTTTCTCACAAGTCTGGGGAGAAAAAGATTTACTGTAATGAAAAATGGACAGTTACATGCTAAACATTGCCAACTACTTAGCAGTGCTGAGAGTCAGGAACCTGGATGTTCATTTGGTAAACACTCTCCCAGAGAGGTTCAAATATGTAAATGAACTTTTATTTTAATATACTCCTTTTGTGGGGAAATTGGTTTTTTCATTACTTTCCTATAGATCTCTGATAAGAAAGTAGAAATAGTCAAATGTTATTCATCTGAATGACCTTTTGGAAGTCTGTAATTAGTCTTTTTGGTAAATAATCTGTTTTAGAGCTCTCCATAAAAGGAAATCAAATATAGAGATACTATTAGATTTGAAAAAGACAGACAGGAAAGAAGCAAACGTGCAGAATGAATTCTGACACACCCGGGTGCATTTTTCTGCGGGTTCTGACTTAAGTGTGTACTGTCTGCAGTTCTCTGAACTTCCTGGCTTATTTCTCCTTAAGTTGGAGTAATTCAGCTCTAGCCCTACTCTGACTTAATCGTTCTATTATTAAAACAATAATGTATTTGTTATGACATGAAAAACAGTTTATAGAGAGCAGTTCAAAATGCTCCCAGTTCCCAGAAAGACAATTACTGGAATACAAGAAAATATTTCAGTTTATTAAACTGTGTTTTTTTAAAAAGGATTTTTACATGTAAGAGATCTATCTTACATAGTTTCTTTACCTGTCTATTTCTTTTTCTTTTTTTTTTTTTTTCCAGATCACAACAGTATCAGGAAATGAGTTCCTTCTACAGTCAGATATTGACTTCATCATATTGGATTGGTTCCACGCTATCAAAAATGCAATTGACAGATTGGTATGTATTTGTTTTGGCTGTTACCTTTATTAATTAAAATGTAGTCATTTAAATCTTACTGCTCAGGCATATAACACACACACTCATTTAAATAGATCCTATGGACTGAGAGATATTAAGTTCTTTTAGTTTAAATAGAATCCACTAAAAACCTTTTCAGCAGATAGGATTTGTAGAACTAAATGTCATTTAATTTCTCTCTTTCAAAAATATAATGCATTCTTTCTTTTTTTCTGAAATAACATGGACATTCATTTACTGGAGGCTGTAAAAAGCACACAAGCACTTAATAACTACTGATTTTTTTTCATTTTCAGTATATGCAGTCTGTAGTACATATTCCTGAAAATAAATATCAACATATTTAAGACTCACTGTTATAATACCAATAAATAATAACCCTTTGTACTGATTTTTATTCTTCTAGCTAAGCTAGATTGTTCTTCTCATGAAAATTACATATCTAGAACTTCATGAAATTATCCTAAAACGTACAGTTAGAGTATGTTTTGTAAGAATGAACTTATTTCAAACCACTCATTTCATGCTGAGTGTCTAGAACAACATTTAATTTTATGACACTAATATTTGCAAAATTTTGAGAAAGAAATATTCTTAATACGGAATACAACACGATAGTAAAAGATTTTCTGTGTGATTTTCTTGATACTTAATTGCAGGCTTTCATTAAATCATTTTAGGACTAACACTTTAGAAAGTAAAATAACAAATGTAGTTTTTCCTGTTATCAGTATATTCCCCTTAAAGGGGTGAGCGTGTGAATGTGTGTGAGTGCACATACATACATACACACTCATACACGCAGAGTTTGTTGTCACTGAGGATGGACTCTGGGACCAGACTGCTAGAGTTTGAATTCTACTTCTATCATTTGCTACCTGTGTGACCTTAGGCAAATTACTTATATATTTTGGCCTCATTTTCTTAATGAGGAAAATAAGGATAATAATAATACCACCTACTCTATAGAATTGTTGTAATGACTGATTGGACTAATGCATGTATAGTGCTTATCATTTAATAAGTACCATACACATATACAAACTATTATTAGAGTATCGAGCTTAGCAAAGAAGACCTATCCCCAAATAATTACCTTACTTCAAATTTCCTCATAAACACCAAAATAGAACACAAAACTATATGGAGAATCCTTTCTTTCTAGTAAAATTATTCAGTCTAATTATTTTCTGTGTCCAGCCAAAGGATTCAAGTTGTCCATCAAGAAACCTGGAATTATTCAAAATCCAAAGATCCTCCAGCACTGAATTGCTAAGTCACTACGACAGTGATATAAAGGAACAGAAACCAGAGCACAGAAAATCTTTAAGTGAGTATTTTCTTTGACTTGCTCATTTTAAGTTTGTCTAAATGCAGTGCTTATGAAATATAAATGCATTGAAATGAGATTTAAGCCAAACTCATCACACTCATGGAAGATTCGTAGCCATTTCCTGGCCAAGGATTCATGCACTGGAGGGCAGTCTGGGCACTTTGCTCACATCATTGTTGATAATGCCTTTTGAGAAAATAATTGTTCCAAGGTCATGGTCTCTGCTTACAGCAAACCTCTGAATCTCTGAGTAATAGCCATGGTGTTCAGATTGGTGATTGATATTGAGAGTGGGAAATGTCAAGCGTCTCCAACCCTGGTATCCTGACTATTTTATTTGCATACATTAAAAGGTATGAGTGACCACCAGCGTGGTCTAACTTAAGTCAACAGGCTATGCCACTTAACACACCTTAGACCACCAGAAACATTTAGAAACATGCTTGCAGAGAGGCTGATAGAAAATGTGAGATGTGAATTAGATGTTCTCCAAGGTCACACCTAGTTCTAATATTCTGAAAGAATTGAATTTAGAGTAAGAACAATGGTCTCACTACTTACATAGTGATCTTGGCTATCTTTCTTAACCATTCCCCAAACTGCTTCTTCCTCAATGAAAAGGGTTATTAAAATATGTTACACATATCTCACAGAGTTGATTTGAGTCTCAACCTCCTGAAAGAAAAGGTAGACATCTGGCTGGGTAAGGTAGCCCACACCTGTAATCCCAGCACTTTGGGAGGCCAAAGTGGGTGGATCACGAGGTCAGGAGCTCGAGACCATCCTGGTCAACATGGTGAAACCCCATCTATACTAAAACTACAAAAATTAGCTGGGCATGGTGGCACGTGCTTATAATCCTAGATACTCAGGAGGCTGAGGCAGGAGAATTATTTGAACCAGGGAGTCAGAGGTTGCTGTGAGCTGAAATCACACCACAGCACTCCAGCCTGACTGGTGACACAACAAGACTCTGTCTCAGAAAAGGTAGACATATTTGGAACCAGAGAAAACCTATTTCCCAAAGTCTTAAAAGTTATAGTATTTTGGGGGGATCTTCTACCAGACTGACCCCAATTATGCAAATCAACATTTTTTTCCTGCTATTTCCCTCTGACCAAAGATCAATATACTGACATCCTAAACTTTTGAATTTAAGGAGAATGCAGTAAGTTGAGAAGAGCTGCTAATGGAATATATATATATGTAAAATATATATAATATATACATATATGTACATATGTACATATACACATGTGTGCACTAAGAAAGATATATATGTATAGGTATACACATACATGCACACACTCATACACACATGATAGGGAAGAGAGAAGCTATTTATATGTGACAACATGTTTTCCAGAGTTGAGTTACTGAAGTCTACAAACCTAGAAATTGCATGAGAACTTAAGAGTAGAAGCACCCTTTCGAAATTAGGTCTTTATGCAAAAACCCATGCCATAATTTTCAACAACTGCTAGATACATTTACTTAGCCAGTTATGCTAAGTTGGATTTTAAGAGTATCAATGTTAATGTTCAGAAAATGCATGGTGTATTTGTGGAGAGTTAATGCCATTTCAAAAGACTTTTCCATATAATGGTACAGTTTAGAGTTATTTCATTTAAAAAATATTTTCCTTTCATTCCTGATCATTGTCTTCTTTTGCTTCACATGGTTTGAGACATAAGGTAAGATTTCAGAATTGGGATTCAGTTGGGAGTATATATTTAGTGTTAATCATATAAACATTTTGTAGTCCATATAAAAGACTACGTGATGCAATGACTAGCAGATCTGGAATCTTAGATACAATTTGTGGTTCGGAGGAGACCTTAAGATGTTTCTAAAACATGAAGAAAGATATATATGGAGAAAATAAAGGTTTGCAAAAACGTATTTGAGAAACATTGAGGATAATAAATTCTCTGTTGAGTAATAGTCACTTTAAAAGTTTTAAGATACTGCTGAAAAAAAATCTTACAGATAGAACACTAACTACTTCTCTTTATTATTTATTTTTAATTGGAAAAGACAATTTATTTTTCTACTTTGAGCTTAAACTCAATCCTGCTTAAAAACAAGAGAGGCCAGGAGTAGTGGCTCATGCCTGTAATCCCAGCACTTTGGGACGCCAAGGCGGGCGGATTGCCTGAGGTCAGGAGTTCAAGACCAGCCTGGTCAACATGGTGAAACCCTGTCTCTACTAAAAATACAAAAATTAGCAGGGCATGGTGGCAGGCGCCTGTAATCCCAGCTACTTGGGAGGCTAAGGCACGAGAAATGCTTGAACCCAGGAGGCGGACGTTACAGTGAGCTGAGATTGTACCACTGCACTCTGGCCTGGGAAATAGAGGGAGACTCTGTCTCAAAGGAAGCAGTACATGATTTATTCATTTCAAAATGTAACTAATTGTACAATGACTTCACACTCACCTTTTACTTTGAAGTTAAAAAAAAAAACCTAGAAAATATAAAACGTTTACTGTACACCAGACACTGTTCCAAGTGCTTGTCTTACAGCGATACATTTAATCCTCTCACCAACCCTATGAGGTAGATATTATTAGTAACCCTATTTTATAGATGAGAAAACTGAGGCATGAAGAGCTAAGGTAATTTGTACGAAGACAAGTTATGGAGACATGTTTCAAACCCAAGCAGTCTTATTTTAGAGCCTGTACTTTTAACCATTACACTATAATAAAGTGAACAAGTAAAAGGTAAGCTTAGTTTATATCAACCTTAGACTTGGATAGAAATATTATGTTAAAAATAAGATTCATGGAAATCAGCAAACTTGAATCAGGACCCAAAAAGTTATTGGCAAAAATAATTAAAACTGTGTGTTTTCTTTCCATTTTGATTTCACTATTAAAATAATAATTTAATCTTTAACCTAGCTCTAATTTTAGAAAATGCTTCTTTTCTGAGTCTTGGTGAGTACGTATAGTTGTAAGCCTTTTTTGGGGGGGCCAGTATGTTTTTTGCAAGGTAGGATGGTTAATATCCATCTATTACTTTGAATTAAGTTCATTCAATATGTACGTATTCATTTTCATTTGGAAGGCGTAATGATTGACCCACTCACACAATATCAAATTAGACCATGCATTTGAAATAGTGATTGACATATTTTATATTTGATGCTTTGTAAAATATTTTTTCAAGTAGGAAATATCCTGTGTGAAACCCCTCTGATCTCAGTCCTAGATTTGAACACCCAAACTTAGGTTTGTTAAAACATGCATTTGGTTTCATGTCACCCTCTGGAGATTAAATAATTACATTGAATCAGAGACTCACAGTATCCTCTTCCTTATTACTAGTCTAAGCACAAACTTTTTGTCAGTTTTCTGCCTTTGGCTTCCTGTGCCCTTGATGTTCCCATAAGTTTTGCTGCCAAGATTGTAGACAGATAAAGCCAGAATTACTTTTTTAAAAGGCATGTGAACATCATTAGCAGCTAACAGGTGGTCATTTCATTGTCCAGTTTGTCTATATAACATGGGAAAAATATGTTTTCTCAATGAGTGAATTCAGAAAGTTATGTTTACATATACTTTCCTTTTAAAAAATATGATTCTAACCTGCCAACACTATTAAGAACTAATCAGATATTTTAAGATATCAGTTGAGTCTAACAGACAAGAAGCCAGAAAATTTAATGCAAGGGCCAAATCACTGTGGGAAACTCAGGACACCAGCCTGGGATGAGAGTAGGAGAGCAGCTCTCCAGGGAGGGCTGTTATGGAAAGTGGAGAGTCAATCAAAGAAGATGTGAATATATTTCTCTGAGGAAAGAGAATTGTCTTCCACTGACAGCAAAGAGGGGAAAGGCCCAAATATAATAAATCTTGCATCAGATAACCTTGGCGAGGTTTCTTAACTTTTCTGAGTTTTACTTTCCACATCTATAAAAATGGGTCTAATACTGTCCTTAAAGGATCGTGTGAGAATTTGAAATTAGACATGTAAATACTTAGCTCACAGCAGGCACTCAGTAAGTAGGAACTCTTATTATCCTTCATGTCCCCAAGCAGATGGCACTGAGACAGGGCTTGAACTTGGTGGTGTTTGATGAAAGACTGGAGCAGGGCGTACATGCTTGCCATCCTACTCCCTGAGTGTGCAAAAGGTAGGAAAAGGGTGCGAGAATTGGATATGGGAGTCCTAGCTGCAAAAAATCTAAGTATGAGCAGCTGGTCTTTCCCCCTGGCAACTCCCCATGTGAAAGGGGCAGGTAGGGCATTCTTGGGGCAGCACACCAGGAAACAGTAGAAAGCAGCTAAGAAACACTCTTGATTCCCCTAAACCCAGGAGAGCATGTCATTCAGAAGTTCAAGTTGATGTGAAGGATTCAGCATTAGCTATCTCACTACTCATTTACACAAAAACTCTAGTTTATTCATTCATACACACATTCATTCTTTTTTATGAAGAAATACAACTAAAGGTATACAGCTAAAATTATTGATTTCACTCATTTGTGCTTTCAATTTTTAAAATATAACTTTTGTATGTAGGTTATGCTTTAGTAGTAATATATCTCATACTTATCCATTGCTAAACTGTAAAATCCATGATTGTGGAGATCTTGGATAACTTGAATATAAAACTGACACTTTAGTATTATAAATAAGCACTCTAAAATGAACATGAGTTAGAAGACTAAAATCAAAAGGTAGGAGAGCTAAAAGGAAATGGATTTTCCTTTAGCTGCCTCTTGATCAAGTTATCATAAAAAAACAAATGTGTGCTGGGTGAAATCTTAAGTGCAATTGGATATGGATTTCTCAAATCTATATTCTCTTAACGATGTGTGCAATAAGGGTATATGTAATATGTTTCAAATAATAAGGGTATTTGTATTTAAATGTGTGTTTCCCAATTCCATATCCCCTTAATGATGTGTGCAATAAGGCAACAGAAAGAAAGAAAGAAAAAAAAACTTGAATTGAGATAGTTACACAATAAAAATTAAAATGCTATGG